TTGCTGAGTTCAAAGCCAACCCCAGCAAAAGCAAGGCGCTAAGCAACTCTGTGAGAACCTATCTCTAAATAAAAAACAAAACAGGGCTGGCCATGTGGCTCAGCAGTTAAGTGCCCCTAAGTTCAATCCCCAGTACACCACCACCACCCACAAAAAAAAAATAATATATATATATATATATATATATATATATTATTAGGCTTGTCTTGACTCAAACGCCAACTACCATCTTGAGATTTTTAAATCAAAATATTCTCACCCCCAGATTGTGTTTGGTACACAGAAAGATGCAACAAAAATCTGCTGTATTAGTTTATTAATGTAAACTTTGAAAAACTTTTTAATGCATTTTCAATAAGACTGCTCATATGAACTTCTCATTCCCACATCATTAAGCCAAGGGCTAAAAAACATTATGTTTGGGCATGATACAGCACTACGCCATTTTTCAGGTTCTGAATCTAAGGCTTCCTTCTTTTATCTGTCCCAGAGCTCTACATAAACAAGTACAAAATACTCTGGGCTGGAGATACAGCTTGATAATAGTAGTTCTTGCCTAGCATGAGAGGCCTTACATTTAATATTCAGCCCCACCCCAAAAACATTAAAACAGAAAACAAAATACTGCCTTCAATTTAATGCTGACTTCTATAGTAGCCAAATGCAAATGACAAAAATATTAAAATATTGTTTTCATATTTAAAAGAATAAGCTTCAAACAAGTGTGCACAATGAATATTCTCTGTGCATCTAACATTTATCAGATACTGTTCTAAGCACTGAGAATATAACCCTGAAAAAGAAAACTTAGAAAAATTCCCTGCCCTCATGGATCTTCCATGCTTGTTAACAACATTTACAGAGCATCAAGGTATTTTCCAAGTGCTTTACATGTTTTAAACCATTTAGTCTTCATAATCCTGTGAGAAACTTAGTATTTTTCCATTATGAGGTGAGGAAACTGAGGAACTAGTTACAAAACAAACAGAAGAGCTAGCCAGAGTCTGGGTCTGAGTTCATACTTCTGGACATTATGGTACCCTGCCCCTCTAAAGCTTTAATAATAAAAACATTTTATCCCAACAGGATGAACTCATTCTCACAACTCAAGATTTTATACAGACAGGGGAAGAAAAGAAGCATACAAAATGATCTCTAGGATGTTTTAAGTGAAGACTAAGAATGCATGTTCTTTTAATGCAGCCAAAATTTAATGCATAATTCTGAAATAAATTTTTCCCACACGGCCAAAATCTGACAGACTCTCCTGGTTTACTTTAACTTAAAAAAAAAAAAAAAAAAAAGCAAAATTAATCTCCTCTTATATGCCAGTTATTACTCTATATTAGTAACCTCCAAGAAGAAAAACTAATAACTGTGTTCAGATTCCAACTTTGCTAAACTTAAGTGCTCCTAACAGGAATTTAAAATTAGGATATTAAAAAACTTGTCTGGAGGATCAAAACTTTTGTATCCATTTCTCTCCTCCTTTCTGGGATAACAAAAGCATCTCATAAAATCAGATCTCTACCTGCCTGACACCTCACATCTGAATGCCTATCTTCAAGCTTCACATCTCTATCCGAATCATGGAACCCCGTCTTCCCCAAAGCTATTCCCTCCTCAGTCTTTCCTGTCTCAGAAATGCAACTGCACTCCAGCTGACCAAATTCCACCTTTGGGCCATTCCTGACTCAATTCAAATTTAATCTATCACCAAATCCTATCAGTTCTAACCTGAAAATATGCAAACCACGCCTTTCTTAGATCTTCTAGTTTAAGTCCCCTCCCCTGCCTCCCGACTAGTTTCCCTGCTCACCCAACTGTCCACATTCTCTCCACAAAGCAGACAGAAGGAATATATCAAAAACCCAGTGAGCATTCCTTGGCTAAAACCATATGAATGGCTTCTTCTTTCACTCCAAATAGCATTCAAAATTCCCATTGAGCCCAAAGGCACTAACAAATAAGGCTCCTCTGCTAACCTTCTACTAGCACAATCCACAGACAAGGTCACACCTGAGTTGCTGCACTCCCTTTTCACTCTGCCCAGTTTGTGTTCCCCTAGATGGTTTTCATGTTTTCCTCCCCATGATTGTTCTTGTATGCATCTCTTATTTTTTAGAAATTTTTTTAATATTTATTTTTCAGTTTTCGGTGGACACAACATCTTTATTTTATTTTTATGTGATGCTGAGGATCAAACCCAGCGCCCCGCACATGCCAGGCGAGCGTGTTACCACTTGAGCCACATCCCCAGCCCCTGCATTTCTTATCATTTTATAAGAAACTCTTTCCCTGAGAACCCCTAGAAATGAACTGCCCCCTCCCGCAGTCACTGTTCATCTATGTACCACACTTTGTGCTTCTCCATAGCAAGTACTACACCAAAAAGTATACATTCATTTGCTTACTGTCCGTGTCTGCCCCAGAAATGCTCACTCTGCAACAGTAGGCACACTGTTTAGTCCATTCTCTCCACCTCCTGGAACAATGCCTGACAAAACATCCAAGCCTGTGATCATCCACCTGGCAGCCTGGATTATTCTGATGATGAAGGCAAATTTACAGCAATAATTCTAAAACTAAGCATGCATCAGGATAATCTACAGGACTTGATAATGGGAAGATTAGGGTTAGGGGTGTAGCTCAGTGCTTACCTAGCATGCTTCAGGCCCTAAGTTCTATTCCTAGCGCCACAAAGAAAAAAAAAAAAAAAAAAAAAACCTACAAAGGTGGTGGGGGAACCAGATGCTGGGCCTCTGCGCCATAGTTTCTGACTTAATCTGGGACTGGGCTTGAACATTTACAAGTTCCCTGGATGCCGCAGTCCGGCTGTGGCCCTCAACACCTGGAGGTGTGGGTACTTTGGCCCAAGAACCATAGTCTGAGAACCACTGATTCACACAATATTTAGCTCCAACACACAAGTGGCAATACCAGCCCATGGTGTCAAGGAGTCACAACTGGTAAAAGGAGGAAAGGAAGAGAGTGAAAAGATGCCCTCTGGACCCATGCCAGGTGCTCACTTAGAAAACTGTATAAAAAAAGTCTTTTTAATAATACAGTATAAATATTCTTCCCTGAATGGGATTTATTAAAGAATAGATGGAAACAGATCAAGGTTATAATCTATTAAAGTCTTATGGCACATATATATTTATGTTAATGACTGCTACTCAAACTTTATCCCCCAGGGTTTAAAAAGCAGATGAGAAAGCTTATATCCTTTAGGGGACACTGAAATACCAAACAGTGCAGACCTCAGTTGGGACACTTTTTCCCATCTCTAGGAATAACCCTAACACTGAGGGCAGGCCTACAGCAGTCATGCCTAGCTTACAATCTGCCTCTCCAGTCATGGCAGATTGGTTCAAAATGCATTCTTTTCAAGAATTGGAAATTTGAAGATAAAGCCTTGTAACAAAAGGCCCAGTGTCTGAATTTATGACACTACTGTTAAAAGCAAAACTTCCCAGATGAAACCATAAACTATTGCCACTAAAGTTCTCAGTAATCTCATGGTTCCTGCCTTACTTTGGCTCTCCAATTCTTCCTTTAATTTTTTGACTTTTCCAATAACTTCCAAAAAACTTTTTTTTTTTTGCCTCTGCAACCAAAAATATGCATAGAGTAAATGTGTAAGCTTTAAAGACAAGTGTAATAGAAATGCAAATTGTGAAATACTAAAGCTTTTCCCATAAATCCAACTTAAGGCATTTATTCCCATCTGCAGACTAGTGTTCTGTCTAAATAACTAATAAATCTTAGATCACATCACATTATGACATTATGTCAAATTTTTTCTTCTACTTGCTTCTTAGAGAAGTATTCCAAAACTTAGCATAAGTAAGCATTTTTCCTGGGCTGTGGTTGTGGCTCAGAGGTAGAGCGCTTGCCTAGCATGCGTGAAGCACTGGGTTCCATCCTCAGCACCACAAAAAAAAATAAAATAAAGGTATTGTGGCCACTTATAACTAATATAAATAAACATTAAAAAAAAAAGTAACCATTTTTCCTTAGTTTATCCAAAAAGTATTGGATGCTTATTATCTGTCAATATTATGGGGTATATCATAATGAATGACAAGACCAAGTTCTTCTTTTATGTACTTTATATTCTGCTGGGGAGAGACAGTAAAATAAACAAGAAAAATGCCAGATAATAAGCACTGCTGCAGAGAAAAAAAGAAACTTGTGAAAAAAGTGAGTAACTCACAGGGCTTCTAGGTAAAATGTTAGAGGGAAGGAAGCCTCACCATCAATGAAGTGACATTTAAACTTAGATCCTAAAGAGAAGCAGCAGCCAGACAGTAGAGATCAGGGTACAGCTAAAAAAAAAAAAAAAAGGTTTTGAGGCTAGGAATAGACATAACTTGTTTTAAAAGGCCAAAAGAAGGACAATGTCACTACAATGTAGTGAAAAAGAGGGAAAATCATTAATGATGAGGTCAGAGAAATAGGCCTTGTAACAAAAGGCCCAGTGTCTGAATTTATGTATTTAGAAATTAACTGGTATAGGACAAGATTATTCACAACAAGATGCTTATAGAGAACAGTTGAGTAACAGACTAAGATGAGAGGACAATCAGATTAGAACTAAGTTTCCATAAAAATTTAAGAGCTGAAAGCAATCTTATATTCCCATACCCCATTTTTCAGAAAGGATATGTGGCCCAAACTGACTTTTCTGAGGTCAGATTAAAGACAAATGGGGTTTAACTCGTTGCTTTTTAACATTCAAGCCAAAGTTCTTCCCATAATTCTTTGCCTCATTTTGAAATCTCAAATAGCTCTTTACCAGGGGCATTTCTGAAAATGACATAGCAATAATCAAATGGAAACATATTTCAAAAGATAGAAATTATCCATACTTCCAGTCCCTCATATGAACTTTCTTAAATGCAGCTTATAATGCTTAAATATTTACCACCAAATTTATGTTTCCACATTATATAAGCAGAAAAAAAAAACTGAATAAAACAAAAGAATATACTTACATCTGGGTATTCTTTTACAGGCACATAAAGTTTCTCTTGTAACTGAACAATAGGTCCCACAGCATCAGGCAATTCTGCACTCCTTTTCTCTGTACTGCCATTTAATGTGTCATTGTACATGTCTTTCCGTACTCTGCTAATTTCTGTTAAAAGTAAAAATTTTAAATGTGTTAGACAAAAAAAGTATTCTTGCTAGTCCAGAAGAAAATAGGGGAGGGGGGTTGCAGGGAAAGATTTCATGTATAGTGTTAAAACTCCAGTGAAGAATTACTGGCCTATTCTGTCTGTTTCTGGATTAAGCCCATCTTTAATAGATTGATAACCTTAATTAATTTCTACCACTAATCGAATTTATAACAACCAAATAAGACATCTTATTAAAACTAACTTCAGAGCCCAAATTCTTAAGCAGTATGATATAGATTTGTTTTACCTAATTTTTCCATGTTTAACTGAGGCCAGTCATTCCAAATGACTGCTTCATCAGTAACTATGAAGAGAATGCCTTCCAGACAACACACACACCAGAGGCTGTTTGACACTTCAGAACTAAGCTCTCTGAATGAAGTTTAGACTGGACCACTTTGTTAGATCCTTTAGATGTCTTCAGAATATTCAGAAATGTCCAATAGATAATAGGTGGCAAGTTTAGCAGAAGTCTGAGTTTGACACACAAATTTAGGGAGCTAAAGCTATGAGAAGAGAGATCTTAAAAGAAGGTAAAGGGAGAAGGGAGGACTGAAGAAAACAAGATCTAAACCAATAAGAAATGAAGGTAGATAGGAGAACTTGAAGAGAGGTGATATAGAAACTAAGGTGATCAAAAGTATTGAAATCTACAGAAATATGGTGAAGTAAAAAGAAAAAGATGGTACCTGGGATTTGACCATTAAGCTATTGGTGATCAAAGAAGTTTCAAAAAAAAGATGGTAAATGGAAATCAAACTACACAGAGTTACTGAATTAAATATAAGAAATTAGAGATATCCCAAATCAATAACCTTAAAAAAAAAGTATTACAATTCTTAGGTATAAATATATACTTAAAGAAAAAATGTTGAATCTATTTCACTAGGTCAAGTTTTTAAAGAAAATGGATTAATTCTTCCAAGAATTATCTATTAAGCTTCTATTCTGTGCTAGAAGATAGGCTCCCACTGGAATATACATGAATTGTCATTATTAGGCTATTAGCTGGATGCCTATGTAACTGTCTTCCATTCTACAGATTATGTCCTCCTTGAGGAAAAGGCTCACATCCAAATACTTTTTTAAATCTTTTATTTTTAAAATGTATTTTGTATATCACCCTAAAGTGAAATTCCAATCTACTGATATTAAGGAACTATCAAATTTGAATGTACTCTTTAATTTTCATAACTACTTATTTGAATCTGTTTCAGTTAAATAAAATCCAATACAGAAAAAAGGTGTGATCAAAGGTATTTTTACCAAGTTATAAAATATTACTTTTTAAAAATTATACACATTTTGCTTCAGTAATAGCAATATTCATTTCATTACAAATTTTTTTTCCTAAATAACAATTTGATTATCGAAGCTTACCAAAGGTTTAGCTTTGAATAGCAAATGAAATCAACAAAAATTTAAAAAGAGAGTACCTTGGATTTGACTATAAGGGCAAAACTTTATTCTTTCTTAAAGTTCTTGTATATGTCTAGTATTATTATGAAGTCTTTCTTAAGTATCAAATTAGTGTGTAGTTAGCCAAACGGCATTAGAAACAGTTAATATAATTAAAATTACATATATATCCTTTCATCCAGGTATTTATACCATAAATGCAAGAACAGTTCAAAATTTAACAATCTGTTATAAGTAATCTCAGTAATATAACAGAGTAAGGAGGGGGAAAAAAATCATGACCTTCCAGGTAAACAAATTTTCCAAACTTAGAAAAATTAAAAAAATATGTATAAATACATAAAACCAATAACCTTCATATATATATATATGCATCCAGTTAGATAACAATGTATTTACCATTAGGTTGTACTTCTATAAATAATAAAAGAAAAAAAAAATCACACAATTAAGAACTAAAAGTTCCGCAGGCTTCTGTTACCCACCGCTTCCCCTGAACCCAGACAGAGCCTGGAACACACCGAGTCCTCAATAAGAGTAGATAGGTGGGTAAATGACATAGGATGGGCTAGTTCTACAGCATAGTTCTGATTTCAGCTCTCAAAGAACTTATCCAATATGAAAGACAGATAGGCAGTATTTCTCCCATGATTTGTTTCAGTCTCTAACATGTACCACGGACCTTAATACCTAAATACAGATTATGTAGAGACAGTTCTGACGGGAATGAAAAGATGACCAAGTCCTCAAGGAATGTACAATCTAATTCATTATTAAATCAAACCAGCTGAGTACTATCTTTATCAAAAATACTCATATCAGAACAAACTGTTAGAACTACAGTAACTCTTTCAGATTTAAGACAAGTCTCTTATTTAACCTCTGTATGCCTGTGTTTCATATCATTAGAGGTCCATTACTGAACGACTCAACTGAACTCAGTGCTCCCCAACCTTAGGGTGCAAGAGGCCCATTTATTATTTTCTCCTATAACCCCATGTTCAAAACTTTTCATCCACTAAGCCCCAGAAATTAGAGCTTCTTCTACTATTATCCTATCAAGTTGATAAAATTACAACCAAGCTATTGTAGAAGCATGCAATAGGTCTGGGGAATGCTTTAGTCCTTGCCTAACTAGTGGTTTAACATGTACTCATTTCTAAAACACTGGAATGCCTCGTAACTACTGTTATTGTTTTATCAATTATTACACAGTAATACTCAAATGTTCCCCCCATCTCTGTGTGATCTTAGAAACCATTAATACAAAAATTCCTACTGCAATAACCCCTAAATTGGGCATGTATCTTCTATCTGAATTCCTTAATTTGTTTTTACACTGCTCTGAAGTTCTTAAATGTCTGAAATTTCGTTTTATTGAATCGAAATCCACACTCCAGAGGCTGTTTACCTCTGGTCCTTGAAGGGTCCACTTTCCAAAGTGTTAAGAACTCCTTTGGCAAGCATGACACACTGAGACATTTTGCTGCTCATACGAAGGTAAGTCTCTCCTATTTCACATTTCCACAATTGTTCATTTGAACACCAGCAGACAATTCAAAACAATTTTTTTTTTCTGGTTGTTTTCTACAATATACATTCCTTGGACTGATGTTAAACAGCTAACTTTCTTTAGGGTTGAACAGTGTGAGTCAAAACTCTAACTGCAATTTCAAAGAGCACATACTTTACTAACCTGGCTACCAAATACAGGCACCCCTTACTAACTACCTGATGAAATCTCCACCCACACTGGATTCACCTCCCTGTAGATCCACACTTGAGATCAATCATCCATTTGAAATCTATAGGTTATGCCATCAAGTTTAGGAAATTGATTTTTTTGGCTTTTAGGAGTATTCAGTAACTAAGCAATAAGGCTCCTCCCATTTTGTGTTTGCTTGAATAGATAATTCATTGATCACATTTTCTCCCAAATTTCAGTGCTGCAGAAAGCTATTTTTGTGAGGGCCTAAAAACTTGTTCTGGTTGTACTACTTAATGTCTCCTCAAATTTCTCTGCTTTAACTGATTTTTTTCTTTTTCTTTTCCAAACCAAAGCTCAACTCCTTTTGTTGTATTTGAAATCACTAGACAGGTAGTCAGTCCCACATTCTCTTAAAAATTTTGTACTGTTCCTTTTAAAATTGGAATTACTGTATAAACTACCAGAGCAATTATTCTGTGCTAAACTGGAATATCACAATCAAGGACAACATGAAGAAATGTCAAAGAACAGAAAAATATGAGTGGCAAAATCTAAATTTCAAAATCAAGCAATCATTTCACAAACGAATAAATGGAAAATAGCTAAAGCTGTGTAAAATACAACAACAAAATGCATAAAAAAGAAATTTAGGATTTGTAACAATCTAAATTAACATATACAGTATAGATTTTATAAGTTAAAATGATAGCTTTCATCATTTGAAAGTAAGTAAATGGGCTCTAGTGTTTCCTCACTATCTGCAATATACCTCTTGCTAGCCATTAAGTTAATAGGCTAACACAAAGAATAAATTAGATTTCAGTTATTTTAATTCTTAATTAACACAAGTACAAGTTTTTCTTTAAGTATGCTTACTAAAATTATAATATTTGGAGTCTATTCAACCCTAAAAAAAAAAAAACCTGCTGCTTCATAAAGTGGTGGCTGTTACATACCCTTATGTACGTAGGGTTAACAAAGAGCTATTAAAAGAAATATTTAATTCAGAGTTTACTAAACACAGGTAAAGTACAAAAGTTATTCTAAAAGAAAAATCCATGAAATATCATTTCACTGTAGTCATTCTAAGTCACATTCATAAAAGTACAGAAAGCATATAAATTCAAAAGCAAATCACTACACAGTGCACCACTATTTAATGTAACACATCTTGCTTACTCTAACAACCAAATAATTCAATCTGAATTTTTTGAAGCAACTACTTTCAAACTGGTAAGAAAACAAAATAAAGTCATTAGTAATTCTCTAGATGGGGCCTCTTTGGGGGCTAAATTGTACTTCTGTACTTCAAAATTACACTACACAAACTACAAAACAAAGGTCACATCATAACCCCCTGTATACTGCCAAAATTAACAACGGTGCAAACTGAAAACAAATTTCACACACAAAAAAATGAAAGAGCAGACCTTATAACAATGTTAATTAATTTGCTTAACTGTCGCTCTCAGGAGCAGCTCCACACAATGGAAGGTACTGAACAGTAAGCCATACCTTCCCGGAAAGGCTCTTTCATAGGTATACATAACCCAATTTATATACTTAAGTACATGTAGAGCGAAGACATCACTGCGATATGAGCATCATCTCTGGCACTATTTAGCTTTCACATTTGACATGGATTTATTTTAAAACAATCAATTACCAGAAAATTATAAAGACAGTCCCATGAGAAAGGGACAGTACCTTAGGTCAAAATGCTTCTTGTGATATCGGATTCAACATAATAAATAGTGTAATAATGATAAAGTTACTGACTCCCAACTCTAAAAATAAAACAAAGGCCTATGTAGTTATTTTTTACA